TGAGGCCCTGGGTTCTATTCCTCAGCAACACATAAGCAAAAAGAAAAAAGCCGGAAGTGGCGCTGTGGCTCAAGTGGTAGAGTGCTAGCCTTGAGCTGAAGAGCTGAGGGACAGCGCCCAGGCCCAGAGTTCGGGCCCCACGACTGGACCCCCCCCAAAAAAAAGAATAGCCAATTTAAGCCAGGAGCAGGTGGCTCATGCCTGTAATCCTAGCTGGTCAGGAGACTGATACTTGAGGATTGCAATCCAAAGCCAGCCCAGGCAGAAAAGTCTACGAGAGTCTGATCTCCAATTAAAAAGCTAGAAGTGGTACTGTGGCTCAAGTGGTAGAGCGCTAGTTTTGAGCAAAAGTTGCTCAGGGACAGTGCCCAGGCTCAGAGTTCAAGCCTCAGGATCAGCAAAAAAAAAAAAAGCCAGTTTGGTGAGCAGACAAAAACATGCTTAAGTTTCCTTCTTTTATAAAGGGCACAGAGTAGGCCAGAGCAGACTGGAGCAATTAGAACTGGCTCCTGAATTAACCAGCTGCCATCACTCTCATAACTCCACATGCTGGGCGAGGAGGGCCTTGGAAATGGCACGGAGTGGCCTGCTCCTTCTCCACATAAGAGGACTGCTTAAGTCCAAGGGTGGCCTGTGAGCCCAGGAGGTCCAGGCTAGCAGTGTCAACTCCTGGGATACTTGAGGAGTCTGGCCCTCAGATGACAAGGTTTAGTTAGTCTAGGATACAGGAGTGTTCCTTTCCCAGCCTTAGCTCCACCAATCCTGCTTTGGGCTCTACTTTAACTGGATACAGAGTTTCTGCACAGCAGTGGCTAATACAGTGATTGGCAGAGAGCTGGGTGCAGAGGCTGGCAGACTATGTAATTGTGCAGTTACTCAGTACACACAGCATAGCACCAGGGTGTACCCTGCTCAGGATGGACCTAGAAAGGAAGAAGACAAAGGAGGAGGTATAGTAGAAGCATGGGGCTAGGGCAGGAACTGGAAGGGCATCTCAGGGGTTTGAGAGCTGTATGGGAAATTACACAGAACCAATAAAAGTGTCTTCAGCCCCATCAGGGCTCACTCTATGTCACCTGTCAGCTCTCTCCAACATGGAGACCATGGTAGAAACCTATGGGAAAAGAAGTCAAGAGGAGGAGCAGGAGTCTTCCTGACCATGGCCTAAGAAGTAACAGCTTTGTGATAAAGGTTGTTTCTAACCCATCCCAAGCCTGCCATGGGCTCATTTCCACTTTTCCATATCTACTCCACCCCACCATACCAGCTCTGTCATGCTCTGGAGGCCAAAGTGCACCTGGATTTAGGGGATTTCTATCCAGTGAGGGCCACAGCATTGTGGAGTTCAGGACTCCCTCATATGTGGTTTTAAGCCCATCTCTCCTGCCTTACCAAGGGATTGGCCATGTACTATTCTTAAGCCAGCCCTCCTTCCCCACCACAGATAAGCTCTGCCCCTGCTTACCTACCTTCTCTCTAGACTTTTCCCAAATCCCAAGTCCCAGGGCCAAGGCTGGACACACAGGTTGGTGTCTCTGCCCTCTGGGCCTCTGAGGTCCCACCTGCAGCTCCAGGCCAGGTATGGAAAAGCCTGGTAAGCTTAGGCTCTTCCCCTCTGTTCCTGCAGCACTAAGAACCTCCATCTCAGCCCAACATTTGGCTGCTCTATCGCTTTAGGTACTGTTTCCCCATCTGGACCATAATGCTCCTTAAAATACCATATTACCTGCTGCTCTGACTTTATGTCCATTCATGGTAGGATGGGGAAAACAGACTACGCATCACAAAGGAAAGTGAAGCCATTCCTTTGCTACGCACCAAAAACACTATGGCTTCTTCCCTCTCACATCCTATGCATAGATAGTGGATGTTTCTTTGTGAAGCATTAAGATCATATTGCAGCTGGGTGCCAGCTACTCAGAAGGCTGAGATCTGAAGATTGTGATTAAAAGCCAGCCCATACAGGAAAAGTCCAGGAGCCTCTCCAATTAACCACAAAAAGCTGAAAATGGATCTGTGGCTTAATTGGTATAGTGCTAGCTTTGAGCAAAAAAAGCTCACAGACAGTGCCCAGGCCCTGAGTTCAAGCCCCAGGCCTAGCACAGGCTCGCGCGCACACACACACACACACACACACACACACACACACGAGGCCAACCTTGGAAAATCTGGGGAAGAGCTCTCCAGGCAGAGGGAACAGAAATAACTAAGGTCCTGTAGCTGAAAGGAGATGGACATGTTCATGGAAAAGGAATGCCAAGCATGGGGAACATGGGGAACATGGCTTAAA